TGCATGAAATAGTGGATGTTATATTCAAAATCACAAACGACATACTACACAAAGACCTTGAAAATAGGGCTAGAACTAGGAAAGGACAAAGGAGGCACTTCCTTAGGGTAGTAAAATATATATGGTAGCAAATTTAAGTAAAAAATATTTCTTTCTATTGTTTGGTTGTTTTAAATTAAATTCAGTAAACAAAATGAGATAATATTATGATATTTATTTTGATATATATCAATTAAAATATTTACATAAAATATTTTTATTGGTGGGCAGCAGGAGGTGAAAGATGGAGCTGATAAATTTAGCTTGGCTCTTTCTTGATAAAAAATGATGGTGGCTATTAAAACAATAACTACCAATGACTAAATCACAAACTAGTGTTCAACGTTTTTACTGTTTATTTGTCTTGTAAAAAAATATGTTTCAATTAAAAATATAATTACATAGTAATTATTAAGCGGATGTCGTCAATAATATAACAAAGAGATAGGATACAGATAGGTTTTGTATATTGAGCTTATCAAATCTGTTATTAACCTTTGACATTTTTAGAAACATAGAAAAATGGTGAACGAGACCTGCAATGAATGTGAGGAAAATGCAGTTGTTTCTGCTCTTAGAGGTAAAAATAGTTTATCTTTCTATGATCTAAATCGAGTCCAGTTTTAATTTCAATAGTAAGCCATAATGATTATTAAACATACGCGAGATGGAAGAAGACAATTCGGCAGAATATAATTGAGAAATGGAGCTGATAGGTATCTATCCTGAAAGAAAGTTTTCTAAGAGACTATTCCCATAATCACTATTGCCAATTAGAGATACAGGCTTACAAGCAAAGATTAGTCATATAATACTTTAATCATTATTATACAGTCTACATGCTACATATAATAATTACTTAAAAAAGTAAATAATTCAATTTAATAAAGTGTAATAGAAATTAGAAAAAAAGGATGAACGACTTAAGTATATCTCAATACCAACATAAATAGCTGTCATTCACCACTTTATGATTCACAATTTAAATTTAATTCATTAAAATCTTAAAAAGAATATTGGTTAATAGAAAAGAATACCATAAATTGAAAAAAATAAATCAGTACAATGCAATACACAAAAAGTAAAAATTAATGATGGAGCAATTTAAGCTAATAAACATTTTTATTAGAAAACAAATACAAATTAACGTATAAATTACATCTTGATAATCGATAAAGGTTTTATGAGTCATTATTATTAAGTTGATTAATGTTCATCAAGGCATGATTTTCATTTTATCAAAACCTCAAAATCGGTAATTAAGATAATAAATTACAAATGAATACCTTCTTTCTATCAACACTTTATAATTAATTTAATTATAAAAGCATATCAAACTGAAATGAATAGGATTTATATTTGAAATAAATATCAGTTATACAAAAATAATACTATATCAATTGCACTTGGGACACAGTTAATAATGTCATAAACTTATCAGCTTCAATAATATTTTTAATTCTTTCTGTATGTATGGTATAAAGAAAAATGAAATAATGAAAAATAATAACAAATACAATGTTGCATGAATGTACAGAAACAGAAAGTAGAATTTGAGGGAATTGCAATGTGAACTTACAAAGATTATTTTATAAACAAACCACATTTCAAAAGCAGAGTTACAATAAAAAAGACTAGGGTACAAAACTTCACATATTCGTGTATTATTTAAAGATATTTATTTATATCAAATAAAAACAAAGAAAATAAAACTTTCTTTCGAGTAATAACCACATTTCTACATAAAATATTAAGAATAAATTAAGGTACCATGATATTGGTCCTAAAATTCAAATAAATATTCCAAAAATTAATAAATTTTATCATACATTTTTACTTTAATAATTATCATTAATAAAAAAAAATCATTTCATGTTAATAATGCACGTTCCCTGTAGAGTCCTATAAACCAGATTTTGAACTAACAAGTTGTCAAACCATATAGAATATACCAATATTTACAAACATAAGAAACATGTAATATAAGCATAATACTTATGTGCGAATAAAGTTGCATAATTTGAAGGTAAAATTTAAATGAATAAAAATTGAGTGTTTTATAATTTACAACTACCGTTTATTTTAATACAATTTTAATTTGTTAGAATTTTTATCAAATAGCATGTATGTAGATAAGTTTTTTTTATTAATAAAGCATGATTTATACTCTTTATCAATAACTGCAAATTATTATTTATTTATTATCAGTTATGAATGGACAATGACCTTGATGAAACTAATTGACTGTTAAATCATTTCAAAGAAAAAAAAAACATAGTAGAAATGCGTTAAGGTTAATACTCTTTAGTTATTTAAAAGCATCTATATTTATAATGAATATATATATATATATATATATATATATTTAAACATAACAATTTAATTGGGAATAAGGTCACTTATCTATATATATATATAACAATACTCAAGAATGCTAAAATTAAAGATAATAAACATTTTCAAATATAAACTTTGACTCACTATAATTTTAATAAATGCAAGAAATAAACTTTGTGAAATACTACGAAACATATAATTAATATATCAATAATAACTTTATTTTCAAATTAATTTATGTTATTTGCTATTAATGATAGTACCTTATTATCGCCAATGCCTCTTTTTAAACCTAATACTTCTCAGTATTAAATAAATAAATTATATTCACAGTTACATAAGTGTGATTTGGTTGCTGGTAGAGATACACAAACAACTTAAAGCTCCAATAATATGATTAACACAAATTCAATTTATATGCTAATATATGATACAGAAATTCTTGAAATTAATAATTTGTCGTAAATTAATGATAATAATCAAAGATATTTCATATATAAACGTATTAGAAAAGCTTTTTCAAATAGTCATTTATATGACCGATGATAAATATTACATTAATACTCATACATAATATTCTTTCTAATTTTTATTATTTAACGACTTTGGAAAAGAAATGTTTAGAAAAATGTAAAAGTAAAGAAAGATTTTCTGATAATATAAAGATATACACATCAGGCCACGTACTATATGCGTGCTGAGAGGGATTTTTTTTTGGTATATGTAGTGGCTATGCTGATTTTTCTGTTTGTAAATATTTTAACCAAAATTATGGTAAAGTTTTTCCGGTGCATGAAATTGTACTTCAAAAATAAGTGCTGTAACGCTATCTGTGAACTATTTTATTGTACTACTAAAGAAAGGCGCCAAGTGTAAGTCTTAATAGTGCTGCCAAAGCCTGTATTATTATCTGATTTCTTGTAATTTTTTGCCTCAAGAGGTAATTTTCGGATCAATCGGTAATGGCCTCAAAAATCAGGCACTTTCGCTTAAAATGACTTAATTACGTGTGCGTTTTCTGGAGGTGGAGCGCTAGTGAAGCATTGAAATTCCGTAGATTTAAATGGGTATTATTATACCTTTCTTCATCTTAATTTAAATATTGTGTTATTTGCTTAAATAAAAAGTAGAGAGAAATATCTTATGTTAATAGAAATAATCTGTCAGTAGTTGCCAGGCTGTTATTACTTTATATAGTACAATCGAATTTGCACCTTGCGTTCTCAATTCCTATTTCCAAGGAGGTTGAAATGATGACCTCTTTACCGAAGTCCTAACTTATATTTATTACCCACACATTGTCTTTACTTTAAGTTTATTAAGCCCCTTTATTACAGTTACTTCCGAACTGTTTGTAAGTTACCTTTGTTATTCCCATGAGGCTCTTACGAAACAGTATATCAAGGAGAAAGAAAAATAAGTTGATTCTCACTAGCCGAAATCCTCGTTCCGACCCTGATATTTCGTCTATTCTGTCAACCACATTATCAGTTCATTGAATTGGCCGACAGTTATAGAATATGTTATTAAATTGATTTATGTATTAATGCATTTAAACTTAGAGATTCTTCTTCTTCTTCTGCGTTCTTCCTTGTATAACTAGGTCAGGTATAACTAAAATAACTAAAATAAAGAATTCGGCAGTCCTCCTCAGGTCCTCCAGGCTTCCATATAGTTTCCTTTCCACTTCAGTTGGAGAGGGCCAGATCACCCTCCTTTGCTAGGAGTAGACCATGCACATTTGTAGGATATGTTCCACATTCTGTACACCTTCATCCCACTCCCAGAGGGGACTAGAGCCAATTATGAACTTACTGAATAGGTTAGCTTTGAGCCTGTTGTGTCCCATTCTGTTGACATTAACTTAATAAAAACATGAGGAATTAACTCTCAATGATTAGTAAATATTATGATTGTATTTTAAAAAGTATATTTTCTAAAATGGGGGAAAATGTTATTTTCAAGTTAATAGGCGGGTAATTTCACTTTGAGTTATCAGCAACCAAAATCAATGAATTGTCCTTGCTGTTCTTGGATCTTTGTATTCAGTTTTAGATCCTGCATATAATTCCTTTTTACTATTTAGATATTTATTAATTGAATATATATATATATATATATATATATATATATATATATATATATATATATATATATATATATATATATATATACATAAATACATTTAACGTAAATATTCTTAGCATGCCATGTCAACTTAGCTTTTGGTAATAATGGTAAATAAATAATGGGCCTAGTGAACCCAATGGTTCATTGGTGATGCCATAAGTCGTTCTGATTTATATTATCATATAGATTTATATTTTATTACCTAAATTTATATTACCAAATCACTAGTTCTGATCTACGCCTCGATCGTTTATCCATTTTATGATATTAATTAAATAACTATTTAATCATTTAATAATAATTATAAAATCTTTCACTTATGGTCAATTAACAAGTAACATGCAATAAAATATGAAGTTTGAAAATAAAATTTGAGCAAAAATGTCACTTTAAGTGCCATCTATTGGCAGAACTTTAAAACTTACTGGGACTGACACTTGCTCTATCTTTGAAGTTGTACGCAGAACTATTGTCGATTTTAGAGGGGGTTACAACTTCTCTAACTCTTGACGGGATACCCGTGATGGGAATATATTTGATTGAAGTTTAGATATGTTCTTATAATTGATTGTATCACTTGATAGGACCTCCTGCTTATAAAGAATTGTTGACGCATTCAGTAGTTGTACTTTTAAAACATCTAGAAGGTAAATAATTGTATGCAATGCTAAGCTAAGTAGTTATCAGTGGTTTGTTTGATAGGTATGGAATACTAGTTTATTAACTTCTTTGGTTCTTGTTAATCTTAGTTATTTATTTGTTACGTCATTTTTAGAACTTAATGGACATTTTTAAATAGTTAATATGTTATAGTTATATGCATTACTTTTATCAGTTATTCATATCAGAATATGTTTCAGTTTTTCTGATCTTAGATTTGTTATTTCAGAATGAGTACTAGCAATGGCAGAAGGATGCAAACAAATATGAGAATGAAAGACAGTCAAACATTACCTCCAGTTCCTCAACATGAGGAACTAATTAAGTTCATATTTGATTGTAAGTCCCTTTACATTTAATTTCTGAATATTAGAAAGTTTTGAACTTAAATTTAACTTTATTAATGGTGCGTGTTTTCTGTTGTAGCGTGGAACAAAGTTTGTCAAGAGTACCAAAAAGGTAACGCTCAGGGTGAGTCATTTGTTTTAACTTCCTTTCAACATAATATTCATTATTATTATGAATAATTATGATTTGGTTATTACTTAATATTGTGCCATAATTTAAAGTGATGAGTAAATAATATTTTTTTTCCAAGGAAAATAGTTCCATTATGTTGTCATGAGAATTTTTATTAAAAATTACTCATTTCAATACTGTGTAATGTTTATTGTAATTCATATATTTATAAATTATACAGATTTTTGTTTAAAGACATTTTCATATATGGTTTGTTTTGTAATGGAATCATTATTTTTTTCCATATTTATATTTTTTTATATTATTAAATGTATCCATTAAGAAAAAAAAAAAAAAAAAAAAAAAGATTTGTTTTCCTGAAAATTGATCAAAGAAAAGATTTGAGTTATATTTCTTTGATAAACAAAAGCAATGTAAACTGGCTTGTGGAAGATCAGCTTTAAAAATTCAATACACTGTAATATTGCTAATCAAAAACTTTTTGCCATAGTCCAATTTTGTTAGACAATAATTTCTGTTATAAATGAGGAAATAGTGGACCTGTATGTTGGGGGCACTAGATTTCTTTACTTACACAATTATCTCTTTTCTCTCTCTCAACCCTTTCTGGCACTGAGATATAAACTCATAATCTTACATCAAAATCAAAATTGAATATCTGTAACTTCGTTAATAGTTGTCCGAAATGAACAATTTTTACACTTTTCATTTCATTTTTTTTTATTTATTCATTTCATCACCATCAGACAGACAGACCAATGGCTGAAAACGTATTTTTCGGACTCAGGAGACTTTGAAACGTATAGACCCGTCGAAAACCGCACATTGGAAATTTGACGATCCTTCATTTTATCTTAGTTATAAGAATGGTGTTATTATGATATATGATTCATGACAGGCATATCTTAATTTAGTCAGTGATTAAAAAAGATTTTTAAATAGAAACTATTAATTAGAACTAGTGTATATTTTGTATTTGTATTTTACGCAGTATACATATCAAGTAAGTCAGTATGTTGGTTTAGGAGTATAATTTCCTATAAATTTAGTTTTATTTTATATGACATTTTATGTTGCATCTGGCAAATTTCTTCTCCTCATTAGAACACTTGTTTATTTTATTTTCATCATTTTACCATTATTCTCATTGCTCTAGTTGTTATTAATTATTAAATTATTAATAATTAACATAGTGATAAATAATTATGTTAAATCTATTGACAGTATATAGAATAGCTGCTATGTTTTTAATTTCCCATTTAAGCAAAATAAGTTGTTTTTATTTCTTTATCTTTTTTAAAACATTGTTATATATGTGACACCTTTGGACAGTGGTTTCAGTGCAATAATTTTGAGTTAATTGAAAAAAACAATTTTTTTAAAATTTATAATAGCTTAAACAATATGAGTACTACAACAAAAACATTCCTGTGTCATAGAATATTTGGAAACGCTAATTTTTACTTATTATTAAGTTTATCGTTTATTTTGATTTTGAATGAATCCTAAAGAAATTTTCAAATCAGGCTTTATTTTGTTTTCAGGCACACCTACTGTTGCTTATCACACAGAGACTGATCCTAATCCTATGCTCAAAGGTATGTTATTTCTTCTTGATTAAGCAGAAAACTATTTTTTTTTTTTCTGAAATTTGTCGTAAACTTTTAATTACAAATTTAATTCTACTTAATACTGGAAATACTAGAACTCATCATGACTCATTGGGATTATACCATATGAAATCACCTGATTTACATGATTTTTGATATATTAGTTACAATCACTAAGTATATTATAAATTATTCTTGAGTAGTTTTATTTAAATGTTAAATAAAATCAAGATTGTGAAATTTTTGCTATTATGACTCATCTAAAAATAATCAGTTATCTAATTTTTATTTTAAATTTGGTATAATCATCCAATGTTCTTCGACAAAACAATTGTTGAATAATATGAAGCACTCTATCTTGATGAAATGTATGATTGGCAAAATTCTTAATCCAATAATTTTCCAGCAAGTTTGAAATTGACATTTGAACAATAGTGTGTTAGATAAAAAAAAAAAAAAAAAAGGAAAGGTTTTAGACAATCTTTTAGGTTAACCTCTTCTGTCCCTAAAAATGTGTTGATGAGTTATCACTTAATGGTAAGGTAAACTGTTATTGTCTTTCATCACAAAAGTAGAAGCAAAAATAACTTATATTCAAATTGGTCGAATCTTGTCCTGTATTTAGATAAAAATGGTATATAATTTTGAAGAGAAGGATGGTTGGGTTGATCAGTCAAAATTAAAAACAGCAAAAATAATTAATAATATTTACTTTTACATTTTCTGACGTTTCGTCCCGAAGTTCAGGTCTTCATCAGGGCTGAGAAAAGAACTAGATTATGAAAAACTATAATTATTGAGTAATAAAGAATTAAAATTAAAACGGTGAAAGGTATCGACTCAAAATGTCGGCAGGAAAACTTGAAGTAGATAGAGTGAACATTAAAGTAAAATAAAGTAGGCAGAATAATAACAATAACAGAGAACTAAGAAATAAGTAATAACAAAGGCAACAAAGTGCGGACTAATGAAATAAACATAATCAAAATAAGGAAACCTAAGAACTAAAAAATGGTAATCTTAGAATAAAATGTAAAACAGAGAAAAGGAATATGAAGTTATATAAGGAAACAATAGACATAAATAGAAAACTGAGACATTGTAAAATCTATCAAAACATATACTGACTACATATAAGAGAATAAAAGTTAGAATAATGTAATACAAAAAATAAATGAGCAAATGTATCAATATATAGAAAATAGAGATGGGGATATGGGAAATAGAGTAACGGGAAGGAGAAAATACGGAGAAAATTAAGACAAGATAGACGAACGAACCTGATCGAACCAAAGGCCCAAAGGCTTGGAGAGATAGTGGTCTATATAGAGGCAATAGAAGGGGTAGCTCTTGTGTTTGCGCCGTCTGTAAGGGTTGACCGAAAAATGTGAACTAAAGCACAGAAAATGATAAATTCTATGAATTATCAAATAAAAGTTTAATTGAAAGAGGTTGGAAATAATCTGGAGATAGTGTAAAACAGAGATAATAAAAATTAAATACTAAATGTTAAGTAATAATGGAGAATACTTGATCTATATGAAATGTGAGATTAAAGAAAATAAAAAATTCATTTTTTTTATGAATTAAAGAAATTCATTTTATATTATTATAAATAAATTATAAATATTATTATTTATTTTTGTTATTTTTTATTTTGACTGATTACCCCAACCATCTTTCTCTTCAATTATTCAATGATTTCTTAGACAACAATGTTGAAAGTATAGCAGATGTTATTGTTAATTTTTTGCTTCCAAATTGAGGATTTATAATTAATTGCTAAAGATTACCATATAATGTGTTCTCACATCAAATTATCTTACAATTCAAGTGGAAAGCATATGGGTATTCATGAATATTTAGTACTTGATTAATTTAATTAATTTAATGAGAAAATGCCTAACTTCTGAGAAGTTTTGCAGACAAAAAATTTGTAGGTTATGATAAGATGAAGCCATTTACAAAGTTTTAGACGTATGTTAATAATTTTATAAAAAATGTGTAATGTGGACTATTTCACTTGTTAATAAATTTTAAACTTAACTTAAAACTCATCAACTTTTTTTCTTCTTAGAAAAATGTTAGTTAATTACTCCAAATTTCATGGTTGAGGAATGGTAGGTTCATGGTTAAATAAAATCTAAATGCTAAATAGATGTTATAATTGAATACTTGGAAAAATTTTCAATTTTTTTTTCTTCAATGAAGATTATGTTATTACAATATAAATGTAAACAGTCCCAAATTTCAGTTTTTTCGCTAATTATGAACTATAGTGGAATCTCAATCTTTTTTACGTTCTTTATCACATGACTTATGTTGCTAATCAAATTTATATTCTTTTTTTCATGCTACTATCAAATTTTTCACACTTATATATTACATAACAATAACCAAATTTTCATTTTGAATGTTTTATATGATGAGATGTGACAGCATCTCATATTCACTGTAAGTAGGTATATATAGGGAACCGTAAGGGGCAAGGGCGTTACTCCTGCCCCTTAATAATTTGAAAGAGGTTGTAAAAAAGTTTGTCTAAAATCCAAGAAAAATGATTTATAAAAATTGTTCTTCTATGTCTACAGGGTGTCCCGTAAATAGAGGATAATTTTCATAGGGATGTAGAAGACTTCAAGAGCTACAAAAAAGTTCATAAAAACAATAGGCAAATATTCAGCAGAAAAGTAGGAAATTCAAATTTTGTGTTTTTTTAAGTTAGCCACACGTTTTGTTGATTAGGAAGCAATAACTAGAGAAATATTTAATTTATGTAATGAACAATTACTTCACTATAAACTAGATAGTATTTATTTCAAGTAAAAAAGGGTAAAGGGTTTTTACCCAGTGGAGAGGGTAAGGGATTAGTGCTAGAGTTAAAAGTTGCCTGGCTCTGGGATAATCTTAGGTTATCGAGCAACGCGTTTGCGTTATCCTGCTCGACCTATAGGTAATACTTCATTCATAAGCGGTTAAGTTTCATGTTGTCGTATCTGAACTACATATATTAGGCTTTTACCCAAACTTATGATGCAATATTAGACCTTATATCTTAATATTGTTTAAAATCATGTTTATGCTTTTGTGAAATAAGAAGGCATGGATGTGAAAACATGGATGTGGTAGTTAATGCTTCTTTGATAAAACTTTACATAAAATAAAAGGTGTGGTGTCGAATTTTCTTCTCATCTATTGTCATTCAAATCACTTAATTTATTCCTATGTTTTAAAACTTGTTAAATGAATATTATTGAAATATTATGTATCATAATGATTTACTTACGTTTTTTTTTCAGATTTTGTTCCATTCGACTTGGAAGCTTGGTGGGGAAAAAGGGTTGTTCAGAATATTACCCAAAATTCATAGAATGTGATTTGTTATAATTTGTATAATAACTTGATCATTTTTATACTTAACGTTTGATATTCTTTGTATTGTATTATATTTGTAAACTCCTGTGTATGTTGGCTTTTTTGGCCATTTTGGCATCACGTTTCATTTTATCTACTGTATTATTTTGTATAAAGGGGTGGTATTACCTTTTCTCAATACTTTATACAATTTACTTGCTATATATTCTATTTTTAAGAGGTACACTATTATGCCAAACCCTGGACCATGTTTCTTTATTTTATTTTTATATTGTTGTTTTTATAACTTATTACCTAAGGATAGGCAGTTCTTTGAATTTAATGAGCTATTGAAAATGTATTCATTTTAATTAGGAGGCATGCTTTATCCATATCATTTCAGTTGATGCCAAATGCCTTTGTCGTACAGCATTTGTGATTAATTAACGTTTAATATCTGTTAATAATTTGTACCTATTTACCTTATCAGTATTTCCCAAGTATACTATTTTATTTAATCCTGTTATCAGATTTTAAGGATTGAAATTAATATTAATTGACATAATGCCTATGGGGCCTGTTTGTTTTGACTCCTCATTCTTTTTACATTCCAAATATTTTAAGCTTCATTATATTGTGACCTAATTTATATTCATACTGTCAATAAAGTTTTATTTAATTTGATTTTTTTCTCATTATTTTTAATAACTAAGAATAATTTATGACATATTTTTCTTGATGTGTTTACACACAATTAAATCTGGTTACTAATTAATGTTACTTTTTTAAAAATTAACTTTTTTGTCCCTTCCATCGTTTAAAATATCAAAGTTCCATTGTATAAAAATATCAACTTTTAGAAGAATAAAGCAATGTCAAGGCTATATCTGAAAAACACACTTACAGTTATTCTTCAATTTAATCCTCATGTTTTGGACAACAGTTAATTTAATGGAGTACACCAAATTAGTTTTTATAAGTTACAAGTGATTGTTATAATTCAGGGGTCTCCAAACTGCAACCTGTGGGCCATATCCAACCTTTCTCTGATTACATGATAAACAAGTTTGGTATGGCCTAATGTGATTGGGAAAAGTGAATTCTTCCTAATCCTTGTGTTGCATTCATATATTGTGCATATTTGGGACATAAGCAGTGCAGCATTCTTCTCCATTTAGCTGGATAGGTGTGAAGAGGAATCAAAAACAGATAAAAATCGATAAAGATGCCAGTGAGATGTGACATAGGGAGTCACTTAACTTGTCTAGTCCTTTACCACCTCCGCCCTAGGACATTGTATAAGTTTGAGTTCTGTAGATTTTCTCTGCGTGGATGCTTGACATAGTGGACCTGGGAGCTGGAACCGCTCTTCCTAATTTACTTGCAGTTCAGTGATGCCACCGTGACATCGACCAATATTTTGTTATCAACCAAGCAATGTACATTCACAAAGGTACGAAGTAAGGTTTACTTAAAGAAGTAAACTGATAGTTACAAAAAAACAACAGCATTTCTTTAATTAAACACTATGCCTACAATGATCAAGGCCCAGAGAATAGAGTGACTCCCTATGTCGCACCTCACGGACATCTTCATTGATTTTTATCTGTTTTTTTTTTACAAAACAGATAAAAATCAATGAACTTGTTTTTTCTTTACAACTCTAGTTAAATGGAGAAGTGTACTGCCTTCCCAATGTCCCAAATTTGGGTGGTATATATGAATGCAGCACAACAATGGCTACGAGGAAAAATTTGATTAGTCTAATCACATTTAGCCAGACCGAATTTTTTTACACATTGTGGAGAATAGAATAGAGAGGTAATATATGTTTTTTTTATGAATTATAACAATTACATGTAATTTATAAAAACTACTTTGTTGTACTCCATTAAATTAACTGTTGGCCACTCCTTGATTAACCCTTTCCTTACATAGAGTAACCTGGTGTACTCATCCAGTCCTTTACTGTGAATGGGATGGCACCACTGCATTATTTTTCTATGACTGAAAGCTCTTAATTGCGTTCACCTTGAGTTTTGAGGATAAACATTTTATAAATTTTGTAATGTTTTGAAACTTGCATTTAACAAAAAAAAAAGTAGAACGAAAATTTACCACATAGTATGCAACAAAAATATGGGTGCTGTATGTAATGGATTAAGTTAGCTGGTTTTGTATGTAATGTCTGATGATTTTTATACATGAGTATCAACATTTGCCATATAAATCTCTTGCTAATAATTTTATGTTAGGTGTCCAAATGTGATTTTCTTTTCATTTGTTTTTTATAAGGTCCAACTGTTTAATCTGGACCACAATAGACGTAAAGTCTAAAGAAATTAGCTTAAGAAATTTTGGATATCAAACCTGTCTCTGAGTGGTCAATTGTTATGAATTTCACATCTATTACGGCATAATAAAAATCAAGTTTTATTATTACTTTTACTCAAAATTTGGTTCAATTTATGTTTCTGAAGTGAATGGAACACAGGATTTATTAACCACTAGGGTTGTACAGCACCTAATATTCTCTATTTGGATAGGAGTTAATACATGATGAAGTTAGCTCTAGTTAATTTTACTTAAAGCTACATGATTTATATATAGCAAATTACTATAGTAATGTCAGAAACCATTCCAGAAAGAGTTTAATTTATTCTAAAAATGTTAAATTCTCAGATACAGTGGCTGATACACCTTAAGTAATGTGAACGAATAGAGAAATATTATGCACAATACATTAGTCAGTATGGATTAATCTTGTAGGATTAATTAATTAAATTTTAATAAAAGGAAAAAGTGATTTTAAGCAGTTAAGGACATCATTAGAACATAGGTATATCTATTTTTTAAACTTTGTTGTTTTATTAATTTATTATAAAGTACATAATAAAATAAATAATGAACTATATATCAGAAAAAAGTATATATATATATATATATATATATATATATATATATATATATATATATATATATATATATGGTTAGAAGAAAAACAAAAATCCTTAGTTCTCAATTTAAACAAAATATAAATCTAAAAATTATGTTTAGAACCTAATTTTTTTAGGCGGTAATAATTTAACAGGTTTTGAAAATAGCTTATACTGAAAATTAGAGGGATCATTTCCTTCTGTTGTGTTAGTTTGAATGACATGATCTTTTAATGTATCTATGTCCTTCCTCATACCTTCTAATGTCTGGATCAGAGGTTTATCTACATTGTTAGCTTTTTCATCATCTTTCAACATTTGTTTCAAGTAAACAACTGCTTCTTCTAACCTTTCAACTCTATTTTCTTCTTCATCAACTAAATCTTTTTGATATTTTTCTTGTTTAAGCTCTCTCACCAATCCCCTTAATGCTTCATTTTGTTGTTTAATATCTATAAGATCACTTTTACTTGCAACTAATTCTTCTCTTAATTTCATAATAAGAAATGAGACTTCTTTGTCCATATTTTCAAAACTAAACATTTCCATCAAACCAATATTTGTTTGTGTAGAGACACTTATTAAAGGTATTTCACCTCTTGTTAAAACAGTATAAACATCATTTATCTTGTTATTTAATACAAAGTTCTCCTTCAATATTGTTGATAGATTTGTTCTGATTTCATTAAAACTATCTTCATTATTTACTTTATTATTTTCTTTGATAAAGGTGGTAAGGTCTTTTATCTGTTTTGATAAAATTGTTATATCAGAGTTACGAGATTTTTTCAGTCTGTCAATTTCTTCTCGATATCCATCAATATCTTTTTTAGTGCGTTTTAATTCATCTAAAAGGCGGTTATTGATATTGTTTTCTTTTAAAAGTTGCATTTTTGTCATATGTAATTCAGATTCTGCGATTTCACAATTTTTCACAGCTTGATTGAAATCATCTTTTGTTGTTAGCAATTCACTTTTCAAGTTTTGTAAGTCTTTACTGAAGTTTTCTTTATCTTCTGAGCACTGAAAAAAAAAAAAAAAAAATACCAGAGGTATGATGATAATAGAATTATTTTTATTTGATCGTGTAATAGTATATCAAGTAATCTAAAAGTTTTTTTTAGATTCTTTTCCAATTCAATGATAAAAAAATTGTTCAATCTCTTATTTATAAAACAAACTTTATAATATTTATACAGTTCTATATGAAATTTTGCATGATTATAATGTTTTGAAATATTAATAACTTAAACATATGTAGTTACTTTGTTCTGAGTGGTGACAGTGGGGAAAATATAAATTAAAACAAAAAATGTATTCAAATAAAAATTATGTGTCAAATAATAATGTGTTTTATTAAAAAAAACCTTATTTGACGATTATCCTTTATAGCATTGGGCATCTTGGGGAGAGATAAGTGGAGATATAATAATCACTGTCTAGTGCATGAACATCGTTTTGACAAAATTTAGAAAAATATAAGTCAACTACTTACAAAAATGTTGCGAAAATAATAAATTTGTTGAGGCAAACAGAAAAGGAACTGACAAATATATGTAAAAGTCGGCGATTAATTTTTAAGTAAATTGTGTAGTTTTCAAACTTTTTTTTTTTTTAATTTATTGGCCATTTGGCTATTTTGAAATTATTTCACAAACTGTGGATTAAAAAAATATATAAATTTTTATTCCACTATGCTAGTATTTTTGTTTCTTGATATTTTCCATCTGCTGTTGCTATAAGATAAATAAAATAAATAGTTTAGTTTAGCAATAATGTTTTAAGTTCTATGTTGTTAGTTAAGTTAGCCTACATACAGCATACATGACAGACTAGATAAAATATAAAGTGATTCAATATACCAATCTTAATGTGTTCTTATTGATCATAAAAAATGCAACAAGACAAAATTTATCGGTTTTAACGTTGGTATTATTTAATATTTAGTTGTATAGATTACAGTGACATCAATATTAAAATTTGTATATATAAGGGTACTTAAACTAATAAAAATATACACAATGAAATATAAATAAATATAACGCCTATAATTTTTACTTTCACTCTGCCTTTGTCAGAATATACATATTTCTGCTAAGATGAGGATGGTAAGTGAAAGTTGTGTGATGCACACACTGAACCAGATTTTTAAAATATTTTTTTAAAATGTTATCATGCAAGCAAACAAACTTTCGCGGGCTGGATCGGAGGTAGTTGCTGGCCGAAGTTTGGTGTTAAATATTAAAAATGTAATCATAAGGTTTTGACAAGTGCTCATGATTATTCTTTAGACATTTTCTTCTAACATAAAGAATATTTTTCATTACAATTAGGCACTTTTTATTATGAAATCATTTGTCATGGTTCACACTAGCGGATCCAGGATTTAATTTTGGGGATGGGCTTCAGCCTGAAACCTTTTTTTTTTTCATAAAAATAACGATAATTACTTTGGAAAAACAGAAAGAAACTAACTACCTATATGAAACGGTGTTTAAGTGATTCCTTAAGCCATTTTAAATGTAATTACACGAACAATAATACTTTAAGAGGTATTTTTAAATTTTTTTTCCCCCAAAAACATATGGTTATATTTTTCCATTTTGGGGGAAGGCTTCAGCCCAAACCCCCCCCCCCCCCCCGTAGATTCGCCCGTGATGGTTCGAAATTAATAAATATCAGCAAACATTATAAGCCATATTTATATGTTTTTCACAACATTTAAATAAAAATTAATTTCATTTCAATTATTGCTTGAAATAATTAGGTATCTGTGATTATTCTATGTAATAATTACTACAAAAGAATTTCTAATATTGATCATCGTTATTGAACGCGGCCAAATGTTTTAATTGGCAGTAACAATTTTTTAACACCTTTTCAACTGCAGCAGAAATTTTATAGAAAAGTTTGTTTAGATGTCAGAATTGGCTTGGTAATTTTATTTGTAGTATATTTATTGAAATAGGTCTGGCTTTTGGTAATTTTCTGTTAGATACAGCTAGAAACAAAAATATTTATTTTATTGGTTCACGCAGTTGGCAATAGTGACTTCAACCAATTCTCTCTTCTTACTTTAATAAAAAAAATTGGGTAATTCGTATTTCGGTTTTAATTTAATTTACTTTCCGCTTTGTATTAATAAAAGTGTAGTCGAAATATTATAACATGTGTCCATAATTATCCTTTCGGGAGTGTCATTTAGTCGGTTTAAATTCGACAAAATATATTTATTGGTGTGCGAGTCTGCTGTACTACAGGTGAGTGAATATATTTAATCATCATTTTGCAATTTGATGCTCTTAAATGTATTTAATTTTTTAAAGCACACATTTCATCAATCAATCTATAACTAATATTGTTGATGTATCGGTGAAATTAATTAATTTCCTTGCCAGTATCGATTCTAGATTGTTCAAGATATCAAACATTTCTCTCATAAATAAGGTAATATGTATCAGAATTTTTCTGGTCCGGTTTCTGTGGTCAGCCACATGGTTCTTCCCTTTCTCCCCTCCCTCCTCAAAAAAACTACCTCTAGATTCGCTATCGTTTCTTACTGCAAATGAATATTTTAAAATCATTTTAATGATTAAAGAAATCTATTCATATTCTTAATCTCTTGTAGAATTATTTTGCAGTCAATTATCCTATTACCACGGTTGTAGAAAGGTATCATTCACAGATTCTGGCACCCCTACAGGAAATAATTTGAACAAGGATAAAAAGTAAAGAACCGAATTGTGAATTGTGAGCTAGTATACTTTACAAGTGTTGCTACCCTTTGATGAATATCAAAAGATCTCATGATCTCACTAAAATTGAAATTCCGAGAATAGCCGAGTGTTTCCGAAATTATGTGGTGGTTGGGGATGTTACAGAACGGTAAAATAACGTATTAGTTATAACAGCTCCAGTTCCATGGGATTATTAAGTTCTCTTAACCATTCCAGTTTCAAACAGTTCCGAGTTTCAATTTGCTTAATCTTCTCATTTCTCTTTCTCATACTCACTAGCGGATCCAGGATTTAATTTTGGGGGAGCTTCAGCTGGAAAGCTTTTTTTTTCATAAAAATAAAGATAATTACTTTGGAAAAAAAAGAAAGAAACTAACTACCTATATGAAATGGTGTTTAAGTGATTCCTAAAGTCCTTTTAAATGTAATTACACGAACAATAATACTTTAAGAGATAATTTATAAATATTTTTTTCCATAAAACATGGTTATATTTTACCATTTTGGGAGGGAGAGAGGGAGGAGAGGAGGGCTTCAGCCCCAAAGCCCAGTCCGTAGATCCGCCCATACTCTCACTTATGTAGTGGCATAATTACACTATTTAGGGTCTAAATATGTTTTGGAGGCCACTCAAATAAAAAAAATAAATAAAAAACTATTATCCCTTAAATAGTTAAATAGTTGGTTCTACTTATGGGACACCCAGGGATTGAAAGCGCACTATTATTTTAAAATGATATTTAAACAAAGTATAATTTTATGGAACACTAGGAGATAAAATTGTGAAAATAGCATTTTAGATAACGCTAGTAACTTTTCAGACAACAGTTAAATAGAAACTTTAGCATTGATTATACTCAGGAACATAAAAAATAAATATATATTGAAAGTAAAAGGGTTTTTATTTAAAAATCAGCTGAGCGATCAATTGATTGTATACCATCCGCTGTAATAAGCTCAACCAACAAAAGTATTTATTTTTAAATATATTAAAAATTTAAATTGGAAGTTAAAATATGATAATAATGTTAATTAAAATCCCTTATGCATTTACCAATTTTATAATTTCCCTATCAGTTTATCCAGATAAGTTTTGAAACATCGTTGAACATAATGTTCTATAAAAATAAGAATGCTTCTTGTCAAACAAAAAAATTGAAAAGATTTTACTTTGATTTTAATTTTATCATTAAAAAAAAATGTATGAATAAATGGAAAATAAAGAGATATAACAAAAAATTAAAGAAAGAAGGAAAATGAAAGGAAATCCCTCTATAGAAGATATGAAGGAGTGAGATAAGGACTAATAAATCAAATGCACTAGGCAAGTTCAATAAGCCTAGACCAAGCAGTCTTGGAATGGAACTATTAAGCAGTACTTATTAGAGCCTGCTTGGAACTCATTCACTAATGCCTTCAGCTCTAGCTCTGGACAGAACAAATAAACCAAGGACAAGTATGAACAGGTCAAAATAGAGCTATTAAACTGTCCATAGGAGAGTGTGCTTGGAACTAATACAATAACGGCTCCAGTTCCAGCTCACAGCTCCCTGCGGAGCTAATAAGCCAACTTCAATTTTAAACTGCTCTGACCGGAGTCATTATGCTATTGTGGTGGGGTTGGGTAGGCGTGCCCCTAAGAGGGTCCAGCCTAAAAGATTTTATTTTTTAACTTCTAAATTTACATTTGAATGAAATGTAGATAACATTAATTATTATATTATATAATAAATTTATAATATATTTATTTAACATTTTTGTTGTATACTTCATAAAAGACTTCAGTTAACTTTTAGTGGTAAATTTAATATTTTACAGAGCCCTGGGAAAATTATCTCTGGAGCCCTGGGTTTCTCTCCACAGCCCTGGGGTGAAGCCAGAATCCGATCCAAGTATAAACTTTAGGAGGCAAAAAAAAAGTAAATAATAATCTTTATAAGACTCTACTTTTGATATAACTTCCTAATGTTTTGTAGCTAAGGCCAATGAAGATAAAGAACTTTACTGTTTTATCTTAAAGCCAAATATGGGTCAATAATTCCTGTCTAGAAAATACCGCTAAGACAATTGAGAAAATTGTCTGTGGTCAACTTTTAAACTAAAATAAAATATAGATAATATTACATATGAGTTGCCTCATATCAAAGACGAACATCTGTCATTTTTAAAAAGTTGGGACTTAAGGATTCTAAAATAAAATCATTAGAAACAGTTTGAGTCGAACCTGTAAAACAAAAATAGACTTTTTCTTTACTTTATGAAAATGCCAGATGTCTGTTTTTATATATGAAGCTACTCAGATACAATAATTATGTAATGTATTTACACAATATTTTTGTTGCATACATTATAAATGATGAGTTAGGGTTTTAGTGACAAATTTAATATTCAATGCTGCCCCCAGATCATCCTTTAGGTCCTTATTTTCTTTCTCTGGTCCTGAACCTATTTGTCCAATGGCGAACAATGACTGACCTATTGGCACTCTCCCAAAGTATTGACATTTTTTTTTATTTCAGGTTTAAATTTGGAATTTTTTTTTTATATTTTAGTTTTAAAGGGCAAAAATTTCAATAGTTATCATTTCCCATTTTCTTTGATTTTCTTTCATCTTCATTAAATTTTCAAATCTTGTTGTGAAGTCCGTCCAGTCTCTTTTTTAAACTTCATAACTTTCAAGTTCAACTTTCTTCACTCAGTGCCTTGACAAGGGATTAAGGAATGTCTAAGTTGGCAATTTTTCTGTTGTACTTAGGACGATTCTTGATTATGAGCCTTACTGTTAGGGCTATTGACAATCCTGACATATTGAAGATGGGTGTTTTGTCATCAGGTAGCTGTGGGTAAGGCGGCTGTGTTCTATTCACAAATAAGTTATTACATCATCTCTTCTTGAATGCCTGGAACATGTTAATCTCTTAACAGTAGGTATAACCAATCTAAGTTTATTTGATATTTGTTGGTCCCATAGATTTTGCCACATTCCATGGAATCATCCCACATGCATTGGGAATGTGGGAAAATCTATGGGACCAACAAATATCAAATAAACTTAGAATGGTTATACCTACTGCTAAGAGATGAACATGTTCCAGACAGTCAAGAAGAGATGATGTAATAACTTATTTGTGAATAGAACACAGACGCCTTACCCACAGCTACCTAATGATTTTATTTTAGAATACTAAAAAAAAAAAAAAAAAAAAAAAAAAAGGAATTGGTTTAAATTAAAGCTATGTTACAAGAGAAGATATTTTTAAAAAGTCCCAACTTTTTAAAAATGACAGATGTTCGTCTTTGATATGAGGCAACTCATATGTAATATTATCTATATTTTATTTTAGTTTAAAAGTTGAAAAATAAACATTGTAGGCCAGACCGAACTTCCTTTGGAGAGTAGGCTCCAGCTGCCTCTCCCTCTTCTAGATTCTGAGTATGCTGGGTTCTAAGAATTCCCTTCATCCTCTGGGTACCACTTGTCTAGAGAAAGACTACAATTATGAAAATATAAATGTTTAACTTAGATCATTTTTTTTTAAATTTATTTATTCAGAACGGATTGATTGATTGATTTACATAGAACGGAGCATCAACTATTGTTCGGAGTATTTTGGACTGAAAGGATTGGATGCGATAGATGGTAGAAAATTTTGCTGCCCCCCAAAGTTCAAGTCCATAGGTATAAATAAGTTTCAGAATTGTCTTGTAGATCAGTAATTTGTTGTCAATTGAAAGTTGAGATTTTCTAGTCAGTAGTCTATATAATTGGCCGTATCGTCGGTTAAGTTCTTATCTTTTAAGTCTAGTATGTGGGTTCCATGTTAGTCTTCAGTCTAAGAGAAAGCCAAGATACCGGACTGTGCCTGAAAAAGGAAGCTGGATGGAATTAAACTCACTTCGGCGGTATATATACTAAAATTGGAACGATACATAGATAAATTAAGTATCATTTTAACTTACCACTTTCATTTTATTCTTTGTGACCATTAATTCATCTGACATCTCAGCATTAAACTCTTCTAACGTCTTTACTTTTTTCTGTAGTAAGGTTATTTTCTGTTCCATAGAAATAATTATTTCATTATGCTCTTCCTCTTTTTTCTTTAACAAACTAATAATATTCTAAAATTAATACCAATTTCTAATAAAATTAATATAAATTTCTAATTAATTTTTCACATGTTTTTTATTTAATTTTGATTATAATTTTTTTTCTTTTACTTTTATGATGAACTAATTTTGTTTTTAACAAAAATAGGAAGTTTTATTTATATTATGTAGTCCGTTAAAGTACATTTATAACACTTTTTAAACCTTTTTAGTGAATAACATCTCTGTGATTTAAAAACTAATTGTACACCTTTCATTAATTTACCAAGCACTACCCATCAACTGCCCATCGAATGTAAAAATGAGTTCTTAAACCACATTTCTTTAGTCAGGACATAACATCTACTTTAAGACAGATAATATTGTAATTTTCAATGACAAAATCATTTACATTTACAAGCAAAACAAATTATTATTAATTTGTCCCTTAAACCACCTTGTTTTTCCTCAGAATCTGCAGGCAAGTGTAACATTAACCTACAGCAGAAGAACAACGATTTGTAATACTACTTGTGGTGAATGTGATTGACTGATGCAAATTAAGAGTTTGTAGATATTAAAATGGCAGATTTAATAAAAATCTAAAAAGTTTTCTCCAACTGTATAGGCACACTTACTTCTGGTCTAGAAAAATTGGTCAATATAATTGTAGAGCTATTTTTTTTTCCTTTGAAATGATGACATTATTTTATATTTATAACAGTGCAGATTTTACTGTTTTCTAAAAGTTTGGGAGGGATTCCCATTTCTAGTATAAATTACTTCAGATTATGCTAATATAGGTTGGTTTTTATGAAGTCGATGAAATCTGGTGTGATGTTAAATTATATTCCCTGGCTTTTTTTGGAATTGATTTTAGGGAGCATATCAAGAGTTGTTTTATCCTTCATAAATCCGGCTTGATTGGCTCCAAATCAGTTGCTCAGAGCAGTAAAGAAGCCTTAAATAAAGTTATTTATTTTTAGACATTCCAATATCACTCTTTTTTTCTTTTTAATGGGGCTTATTATTTTATCATGAAGTTGTAGAATATAAAAAAAAAACTTTTTCAGAATTCAACAGTGAGAAATGTTCTCTAATGGGCATTCAAGAAGGTAGGATCTTGATATTTCAAAGGACAACTCTGTTTGTTATATTGAGTGACCTGAAGTGAGAGATTAAGTGAGATATTATTTAGATTAAGAAACCCTCAGTGTTTCATGGTATGAAGGCTCACTAACGGATCCAGGATTAATTTTGGGGGGCTTCAGCCCGAAAGTTTTTATATATGTATAAAACAATAATTACTTTGGCATAAAAAGAAAGAAACTATATGAAATGATGTATAAGTGATTTTTGAAGGCCTAATAAATTTAATTATATGAAAATAATACTTTTAGAAATACATTTTTAATATTTTTTCATAAGACATGGTAATATTTTACCGTTTTGGGAACTTCAGCCTGTGGAATTTAGGGTCACATATACTACATAAAATGACATCAACAGGACCTTCGTAAACATACTACAAACAAAAACTCCTTATAATTTTTTATTTATTTATTCCTTAAGTAGGCATTGAATCAAAAAACCATTCATACAGTTTCAAAGAGCAATCATTCAATTTTTCAACGGATATAGTAACATCGAATTTGGAGAATATCCTAAAGAGTTATGAATGATCGGAAGGGTGTTGTGTTCCACCAAGACAAAGCTATGCCCCACACCTCATTGATCACTCGCAATTAATTATTGAACCTTGGATGGGATCTTTTGCCCCACCCTCCCTATTCACCAGACTTAGCTCCAAGTGACTACTACTTATTCCGGTCTCAGCAGAACTCCATGAATGGAAAGAAATTCCAAAAGGAAGAGGACATCAAAAACTACTTGGATAATTTTTTTAACAATAAACTCCACACATTCTACGAACATGGCATTATGCAGTTAGTGGAAAGATGGGAAAAGTCATATTAAATAATAGTCAATATATTTTGGATTAAAATAAATTTTATGCCTATGATACATAGAGTTTTATTTCACCCTGAAAAACCGAAAGGACTTATTTGCCAACCCAATATTTAAATAAGGTGGTTTTCACATAGAAAACGTATCTTTAGTTTTCTTGATATGATCTGCTATTAACTGCCATAACCTACCATAAATGAATTAATTTACAATTTTCCATGCTACACCCAGCAAGTATAATGGAAGTGATAGCTCTATGATGATTAAAATGAGTATGTTAATTTATGGGGCTTAATAGTGAACAAATTGCTAAAAAATTAATTCGAGCTGAAGTGACTAGTAAATGTCCAAGAGGTACACTGAGACATAGGTAGATGATTATTGTGAGTTGGGCTTGCTGACCTGGGTTTTAATGGAGAATATTGTTGGGGATATCAGTGGTATCCTTCTTTATTTTTTATTCGTTATATAACTTTTAGGTGTTCTAAGTTCTTATTTATTTATTATAATTTTCTATACTTTAGGTAATAAAATGTAAATTGCTCTAATTAATGGTTACATTTTGATAGCCATTTACCTGCTATGAGATTCCCTTTCTTTTTCAATAGATATTTCTAGTTCTTTTTGTTTCCTACACAAATCTGTAAAATCAATAAAGTACATTTTATAAACCATACGGTTTCATACTTATGATCTATTTAAAATGTCTGTGTAGTTTTATTCTTATGTCTGTCGTAAACCTTTACTTGTGTTTGTATGAAACTAATATATTTATTGGCTTAACTCTTACTTATGTAAACAAGAATTCATGTTTATGTACTAGCTATAATGTTTTAAAGTATGGATTAAAATCATTAAATTTCTCAAGCCGAGAAGTGGCTGTAATTACAATGCGTGTGGTTAGATTAACAGTAATAATTAAAGATTAACAATAAATCCATTGCTCAGTGTTGATAATCATAAATTAATTTAATCTAATGTGCTCATGTATTTCATGTTGATTACCAGATTCAAAAATGTTTAGTTTGTTCCTTAATATGCAATGAAGAAACTTCCCCTCTAAAAATTTATTTTAAAATTAGTTTCTTAAGCTGTTCAATATTATTTTGCATTTAAATTTTATTACATTCAATGTATCTTTAATTCTGTGACTTTATCAAAATGCTAAAATTAATTTATCTCAGACTCTTTGTAATTGTCTGTCAAGTCGCAGGTTCCTTAAGTCCAGCATGGATAGGAAGCTCAATACTAGGCCAACTTTTCATTTGAAGATCTTGTTTAATATTAAATATTTACATGTTTGAACTAGTTCTGAGTCCACTAATTTTGTTTTTATAATGTATTTTTCTCATTAAAGTGAAAATTGAAGTATTAGATTGCAAAAAATATTGTTTATGAACTGTATAGAATTCTGGCATTAGTTTACATTGGGGAAATGAGACAATGATGCAAAGTCTAAACTATATATGTGTTGAAATGTAACATTTAGCCAATCTGATTTAGTATATACGTATATAGATGTGAGTGCGTGTGCACGTGCATGTTTGTGTGTGTATGTGTGTGCGCGTGCGTGCGTGTGTACGTGTGTGTATATATATTACAAACACACATATATACATATATATATATATATATATATATATATATATATATATATATATATATATATATATATATATATGTATGTGTATTGATAAGTCACATTTTTGTTTAATAGGAAGCGATAAATAACAAAATACTTAATTTAAATAATTACCAATTGCTTCACAGTAAAAAAGACAAAATCTACTTCAAATTGAAATAGAGTTTATCATTGGTAAAACCATTTAAAAAGGACTTCCAACTATACTACAGATACCCTACTTTTAGAAAAACTTTCTTGTTTAATAAGCTTTAAGTCCATATAAGTTAAGTTGAGGTTTATTCAGGAAAAACTTGAAATTCACCCCAAGTTGTGTAAAAAAATTATCTGATTTTATATGCTGTCACTTAAAAGTATCACCAAAAATGACTGCAATAAATTATTCATCACTTCAACTATGTTCCATAAAAATTATAGAATATATTCATGTATATTCGCAACCGTGAAATAAAAATATATATCCTTTTTTTCCGCATGAATACTAATCATTCCCTAATTTTGATATTGGGGAAACTTAGTTTCATGCAGGAAATAAAAGCAATTGTGCCTAGAATTCAAAATATCCAACCACGTTTATGTTTATAATAATAGGAACTATGATAAAGATATTTTTGAAGGAAGTTGCTCTCTTTAAAGTCAATGTAGTGACACTTAACAAAGGTCAGTTTAGTTGTATAAAAAATTACACACACACACACACGCACGCACGCACGCACGCACGCACGCACGCACGCACGCACGCACGCACGCACGCACGCACGCACGCACGCACGCACGCACGCACGCACGCACGCACGCACGCACGCACGCACGCACGCACGCACGCACGCACGCACGCACGCACGCACGCACGCACGCACGCACGCACGCACGCACGCACGCACGCACGCACGCACGCACGCACGCACGCACGCACGCACGCACATCTATATACATATATACTAAACCCTTTATTTTCAAATTGGCTTGTTAATCTTTTTATGAGTATTTTAACGATTAACTGTTTTTAACATTTGAGAAAGTTGACCAATAGCTTCTCATTCTACTCCACTAATGAATATTTTAATAATAATTATGGGATAATTGTAAAATGAATACAACTTAATAATAATAGTAACAATAATAATAACAGATGTAATAAAACAAATGAATTCAATAATAGTGATAGATGATTTAAACAAATAAAATAATGATAAGTAAGATAAAATAATTAAAATGAACTATATGGCTGAAGGGGGGCAAAACCATGTCTCATTTCTCATTTTCCCATCTATCAAAGCTGTCATCTCATTTAAAAATGGAACTGAATACTGATGAAAACATTTTCAACCCGTCATATTCCTCTCAGGAATCCATACTAATATTTTTCAGTTTTCAAATCATGAACCGATAAATGCCATGAACAAAATATAAGAGGTGTATACTAACAAAAAGGATCATTCAAAATTTTATAATGTTGGACGAATATACCAAAACCCTTTAGATAAGAAGTTTACTATCTATAGAATAAATGTCTTACTAGTTGATCTTTGTATTTTGCACGGCAAAATAATGTTTTAGTAATTATTTATTTTTAGCTGATTGATGAAGTTTTCAGAAACGGATGAAGACAAAAAGGTACAATGGAGTTACTACTTTTTATTTGTAGGCATTTTATTTACTGAATTGATTAAAATGTAATAGGATTTGCCGGGAATAGAAAATACGCATTTTTACATACAAAATAAATATTTATTTTTAAAGAAAGAGTTCTCTTGAAACATACCTTAAATAACATAGATTAAACATACCTTGAATAAAGTTAAATATATTTTGCCAATTGATTTATGGAAAATAAATTATTAAATTTTTTACGCTTTGTCATCACAATAACATCAATGAAAAAAAGACATATTTTCGTTTACCATTTCTAAAAATTAAGAAGGAGAAAAAGTTGATAAATGATCAAGTGTTAAGAGTCAAAGAATAGGGAATTTGTAAGCCTTTCAAACTCTATATGTAATATATAACACTATTAAGTGTATAATTTTTGAGTTGAGCGTAAATAAATATTCCTTTTTTCATAATTTTTTTCCCGGATTTTTCTAAGGGATGTATTTATTATTCCAATATGAAGGAGGAAATAATCTTCCTACAAATTATGGCTCAATCATTGGATTTGATAAAGAATTGACGAAGATTTAGCAAAAAAAAAAAAAAACACCTTTGAGAAATAATATCTGTGGCCACAGGCAGATCTACGGGGGGGAGGGGGGCTTTCGGGCTGAAGCTTCCCAAAAAAGATAATATAGCCATGTTTTACACAAAAAAATATTAAAAACTATCTCTTAAAGTATTCTTATCCGTTTAATTACATTTAATAGAACTTCAGGAACCACTTAGACACCGTTTCATATAGGTTAATTTATTTTTTTTTTCAAATTATTTTTATGAAGATTTATGTCAAAAATTTTTTCGGGCTGAAGCCCCCTCCCCAAAATTAAATGCTGGATCCGCTAGTGCCTGTGGCACCTGTATGTAGTTTTGAGTTTCAACTCATGATTCACAAAGGAATGTTCATTTATGTATAACTTAGCCCCTTAGAAACAATGAAAGAGAAAAAATAAACTTTCTAGTGATCCCCATAAAAATTCACAAAATTGCATCGTCATAGACAGATATATTATATTATAATAGAGGGGATATAAACTAATTACTGAGCTATTCATAAATGTGAGGCATACAATTATTCGTCTCAAAGACCAAACACTGTAGAAATACCAAGTTTTAAGGAAGAACGAAGGGTGTTTTACTAAACGTCATGTAAACGGTTATAAACGTGACTTTCGCTAAGTCATAATTTTACCATTTTCATTACAATTTATGGAAGTTATAAACTCGTAAACGTTAAATCAATCTCGTAATGAAACAATGGCGTGGGTGTGGAATTGGGAGGGGGGAGGGAGCTCTAACATTAGAGTTAACTTTATTACTAAATTTAGGGGCAGTAGAAACATCAATCATTAGGGACAAACAGGCATAGTGCTTCTGGCCAAGAATCGAATGTAATCACTTAGGCCCCACGTTGCGTAAACAAGGTTTTTCCAAACGTGGCGATTGAAGGGCATTCACATTCCTACCGAGTTCTCTGAACACATTAGCTATAATCAAACATCAAAGTTCTTAAATGATAGATTTAGGAAAAGATAGCTGTATTTGATTTGTTATCTTACTTTACCACCGTCCGATATCAGTTAGATCACATTTGGGCTTGATGTTCTAATTTTTGTTTAATAAATTATAAAAAGTATCTATATTTAACTTAGAAAAGGATCAACACTTCTGAAAAATTGATGTTTTGATGAATCTCTGTCTGTGGATTATATCACTCTATAATTCAAGGTGATTTAAATTTAGTGTGTGATTGATTTAAATTTGTGTACCTTCACTTACAATCGTCAAATCCAGTAGTGAATTCAGGATTCAATTTTGGGAGAAGCTAAATATTTTTTTTTTAAGTATAGGAAAAAAATAATAATGCTTTTAGCCATAAATATTTTCTGGTATCCTTCCTCTATCAAGTCACCCAATCCCGGCTTCCGAGTTGATTCAGTCCAAATAGTCGTTTCACTCCCGCAATAACCGCTCCTGGTATTCAGATTTAAATATAACGGCTAATCAATCCGCGGCATTCGACAGATATTTCATTATTCGACCCTTGTCTCTATGGAATTCCACCCTCTCCTTCATCCGTCACTCCTATAATTTACCCACCTTAGAATCCTGCATATTCAATCCTTTACTATCCATCTCCAAACAACTGTAAATAGTTTTTCCTGTAAATATGTATATAAATTGTCAGTTTATGTATTTGTTTTTAAGTATTTTTTTTTTCTTTTTAATTCATAAAGTTAGAAGTTAACTAAATTTTCTCAAATATTTATTTTCCTTATTTTATTATTCTTTTTATAAAACTCTGGGAATATGAAACCCACAATTGTATTATTCTATATAATTCTA